AAAGGACTTACGGGTATGTGTGTCAGCAAAGTTAAATATTGTCAATTTACAATAGTATGTTCTATCTTTAAAATGTTCTACAACTTTTGTGGTCACCCATAAGTAAATGCCAATAAAAATATGTGATAAAAACAATCTATAAGAGAAAAGTCTCTTAATTACAAAAGAAGACAGTTGGATGAGAAGAAAGGAAAGAATAACCTAGAGAATAATGAAATCACATCAGCAAGATATTAACTTTCAAGAATTACTTTGCCTGAAAATAGGTTAATATTTTTCTAGTCATAAGATATGTGGTTAATGAGTTTTTTAAAAGTCTAACTATATGCTGCTTATGAGATACTTACTTCACTTTTGAGGATATATATATATATATATATATATATATATTCCATGCAAATGGAATCCAACAGGAGTACCTGTTCTGGGGGTGGGTTGGGATTGAGCCAAGTTAGAGCACAGGGATCTTCCCTTAATAAGATAAAAGCAGGATCTGTTGCTGGACTCTGACGGAATGGAGCATGTGGCCAACAACTTGGGGGTAGCAGCCTTTTAAATTGGCAAAATGGAGCATTATTTTTTTTTCAGAACCAGGGTTTGAACTCAGGCCTTTGCACTTGCCAGGCAAGTGCTTATTCTCCTGAGCTATCTCCCCAGCCCCAAGCATGATTTCTTTAAATGTAAATCATACAAGGTGATGATGTTGCCCACCTGGGCTAACCAGTGTACCTAATAACCAGGAGGACCCCAGAACCATGGTCTCTACCCTTAGCCAGCATTGACTCCCTCTCCTAGGGTCTGTCTCCACAGCACAGGACCACAGAGGTTGCAATGTCACGCAGAAACACTGAAACAACACACAAGATTTAAAGGCAGATTTACTTACATTGACAGGCACAAATTAGGATCATTTACAAAATATCAGTCTCTGACCTGTGATGGTCTGGTCTTATACAAGATAAGCAAGCAGGAGGAACAGAGGCAGAATGGTTTGTCATTTGAGCTTTGGTTTATGAGAGACAAAAACAACCAGAACTGGAGCAGGACCTATTACCTGGGCAAGTAACAACCTAAGTATACTGGGGGTGGAAGGAGAGTTTCTACTACAACTTGACAGCCAGCAGATCAACCTGATGAAAGAAGTGACTAACACCTAGGAGAAGTTTCACTTCAGGACTACCAGAGTGCACATGAAAGACAGCCTTAACAGACATTCTGGATTGGGGCAGAATATACACAGAACCCATGGAATCCTCTGCAAGCCCAGGGTCAGACCTGGAAGTTTGCAGGGCCTGTACTGCATTATGGGACAGCAGGTTTGGAGTGTGAAAGCATCAGAAGGACAGTCCTAAGAAGGTATGGGGTCTGGTGGCACAGTTGAGCTCTGACACTGCTGCCTACATCCAGCAGGAATAGTGGTCTTATCCACTATGGGTAAATATATAAACAACCTGATTGTCTTCACTACAACCAAAGTGCTTCTTATTCCCTCCACGGCTGTGCACGAGTAGTTCTGAGTGTGTTTTAATATTGCGTTGAACTTGATGGCACTATGGGCGCTGCCTTTACTACTACAGCCAAGGTAATGCAATATTGGCTGACAATTGGACTTCTCCCTAAGTCTCCTATATCTGCATTTTCTGCGAATCATAAGCAATAAAAATTTGCTACGCATACACACCAAACTGTGAGGAAGCAAGGCAATAGAAACCACCCAAGTTCTCACAGCTTTCCTAAAGAAGATCAGTGGAATGCAATGCAGAGGAAAGCACAAAGGCCAGTTGGTGGGGTTCTGCAAAAAGATTACCGTAGAGATGATAAAATGAGGTACATTCACAGAGGAAGTTAACTCAAATTTCATGTAAGTACTGTTCAATATGCTTAAACTGGGTTTGGGAAAATAAACATTTTGAAGAACTGATCAAACAGTTCAAAATATGAATGACAAAGTCACCAGAGATATTGAATCATCAAAAAGATATCAGACAGATATCTGAAAAAAATTCTGGTCAGACTATATAAACTGCAGAATGGCCAGAGCATTAGAAACTGAGGACAGAATCATAAATTATGAAGACAGACTCAAAAAACAGACCCACACACATGCACAGGCACACAAATGAGAGAACAGAAAAGACCAGTGAGATTCTGCTAGCTAGCAACAAGAAGACTAACCTAAGGCTAAGGAGAGCTAGAGAAGATAGAAGTGACACAGAAGGAATTATTGATATTTTTACAGAGATCATAGCATAAAATTTCCCCCAAATGAGAAAAGATTTCAACATACAACTAAATGAAGCTTCCAGAACACCACACAATAAGATGAAAAGAGCTCCCCAAAGCATATCTTTATTAAATTGATGTATATTCAATGAAAACTTTTTTAAAAAAAGACACATTTATTCAGCGTCATGATCAGACTATTACATTTAGCAATCAACAGCCTGGGTACAAAAAAAAGTCTATATTAAAACCCTTTGTTGGAATGCTTTACACTTTACACAGAACGGAAACTAAAATAACCTGTTATACAATTAGTCACAAATACAGTCCTCGAGTTTTTTGCCCATATGCATGAGTATTGTCTAAAACATGTCTTCTTTGTAGCAGGTAGGCCCTGCCACCACTGTGCTTGGCTGAGTTCACAAATCTGTTGTAACCTGTAGCTTCCCTGTCACTTCTCTGGCTCTTCTCTCCTGCTAAGCTTTGTTTCCTGAGAGTGTTTAAAACCTTCTGCCACTGCCATGGCTACTGCTGCTGGTGGAACCACCATAACCACCTTGATTTCATGGTTTGGTAAAATATTGGCCTCCACCACCATACGGCCTAGAGCTTCTGCCTGAGTTATGGCCATTGCCTGACCAATTTTCTCTCTGTGAAAGCCAGAGAGAATATTTTCTCTCTATGTGACTCTCCTTAGGAATACTCTACATCATCACTTTCCTCCGTGGCCCCATAATCTCCTTGATCAGAAAATTTGGGACACAACTGAGTTGCAGGATATTACAGTACAGGTTTTCCTAAGACCTGAGTCTTCACTGACCTTAAAAGGCTAGGGCCAAAATGTTGGCTGCCCTTGAAGCCTTTCTTTTTCCCATATTTTTTGTCTGCAAACTTAAGTTGTTATCTCTCCAAAAGAGAAGCTTAATGATTTTATTACCCTAAAACATAGGCAGTTGAGCTTAACCTCACTATCTCTCTGAATATCAAATATGGACATAACATGGAACAAGTATTTTCTATCAAATATAGATATGTTAAACTTTAAATCCCTAAAGAATGTGAAGAAAAGAAAAGAAAAAAAGGAATGTACAATTACATATTTTTACACAGAAATTTAGAAATTAACCATATACAGCATCGTAGCAGGACAGTTCTATGACACTTTTCTCTTGTCTCTTGTTTTCATTTATTACTCTTTTTTTAAACAAACATTTACTTGACAGACAGTATGGCAGTAAACGGTATGACATGAAAAACAGTATGTATTTAGAAAACCAGAATGACAGACATTCCAAGCATGACCCTACTATTACACATTGCTATCTTCAGTGCAGTTTCTTAGTTCACAGGTCTCAGCATATGTAGTCAGGGTGAGAATCTTACCAGTTAACTGCTAGTTTCAAAAGCATGCTGAAGATTCTCAGGATCATTGCCTTAACCATCTTGTGCATATAAATGTATGGTTTTGGCCTTGTCATGTTTCTTAGCTTTTCTCCTTGCCCTGTCTTTGTTGTCTACTCCTTAAGTTCTTGCTTTTCTTTTCATTGTGTTATACCTTTCTATTTTTATTACTTCTTTTGAGTTCTTACAGTAGGGAGACTATATAATATTTACACAGGTGGTTCTGGTTTATTTCACTTATGTGAATATCTTCAAGTGGCATCCACTTAAATATAAAGGCTTTGAGTTTATCATTCTTTATAGTATCTTTTATACTCCTTTGTATAAAAATACCACATCTTTTTCATCTATTCCTCAGGTGAGGGGCATCTTGGTTGTTTCCAAGATTTGGTTATCACAAATTTTGCTGCTATAGACATAGGTACACATATATCCCCATGATATGACTTTTTCAGTTCTTTTGGAAAAATTCCCAGTAGGTGAATAGCTGGTTTAAATGGGATTTCCAGTCCTAGTTTTTTAAGGAGTTTTCACACCTATTTCTATAATGGTTGCACCAGTCTACATTCCCACCAGCAGTGGAGAAGGGTTTCTTTTTCCCCACAGTCTCTCCAACATTTGTTGTTGGTTGATTTCTTTATGATAGCCATTCTTTCTGGGGTGAGATGGTATCTCAGTGTTTTACTTTGCCTGTCATGGATGGCTAGTCATGTGGAACATTTTTTTTCATATATTTCTTTTCTTCTCTAATTTCATCCTCTGAGAAGTATGTGTTTATCTCAGATGTCCATTTCTGGATAGGGTCTTTAAATTTTGGTGCTTTAATGTTTTTAGTTCTTTATAAATTCTAGAGAGTAGACCTTTATCTGAAGCACTTAGAAATTTAGTAACATATTATTAAACACCCAATGGGTCACAGAAAAAAATCAAGTAAGAATTCAAACATTTCTGAAAGATACTGAGGGTGCCTGAACAGCTCACCAGGACCTCTGGAGCACTATGAAAGCAGTCAGAGGAGGAAAGCTTATTAATGCTCACATTAGGAAGATACAGTGAGCTCAGATAAACAAACTTATGAGCAACCTCAATATACTTGAGAAACAAAACCAATGTAGGACCAAAATGAAATTAAGGCAGGAAATCACACAGATTAGAAATCAATAAAACGAAGACTTTAAAAATATTTAAAGATTCAACATGTTAAAAAGCTGGTTCTTGACTGGCTGCTCTAAAAAGCCATCTTTGCATTGTTCTCAGACAGTCTCCCTGCTTACTGCAGCCACCTCCTCTCTGGTGTTCCTCAGTAGTCTCACCAGAGTCCTTGAACTCTGGCTTTCTTTTTCACCGGCTGCACCAAACCAACAGCATGCCCCACCATGTCAGACACTGCCATGGACACCAGCTCAGAGATCACCACCAAGGACTTGAAGGAAAGAAGGAGGTTTGCGGAGAATGGCAGAGACGCCCTTGCGAGTGGGAAAGCTAAGTAGGAGAATGGGGAGCAGGAGGCCGACAAAGAGGTAGGCAAGGAAGACAAGGAAGGTGAAGGGGGGGGGGGAGGAGGAAGAAAGTGATGGTGAGGAAGAGGATGGAGATGAGGATGAGAAGGCAGAGGCAGCTATGGGCAAGTGGGCAGTTGAGGACAATGAGGATGACGACGTGGATACCAAGAAGCAGAAGACCGACGAGGATGACTAGACAGAAAAAAAAAAAAAAAAAAAAAAGGAAAAGTTAACTTTAAAAAAGGCTACCGTAACCTACTCACTTTCCATTTCACGTCTGAGAATCTAAACGTGGTCACCTTCGAGTAGAGAGGTGTCTGCCCACCGCGGCAGAACCACCAGCAGACACCGCTCTCCACCACCGCCCCACTGAAACCACACACGAATTTGCAACAGGGAGGAAGAACCAAAACTTCCAAGGCCCCGCTTTTTTTTCTTACAAGTACTTTAAAAAGGAAAATTTGTGTGTGTCTTTATTTACATTTTATATTTTTGTACATATTGTTAGGGGTCAGCCAGTTTTGATGATTGCGGGTTCAGAACGTCTTCTGTCCTACTTTGACTTTACGTGGGGTGTACCATGTTCATTATAATCTCAAAGGAGGAAAAAAAAACCTTGTTAAAAAAAAAAGCAAAAACAACAAAAATCTTATTCCAAGCATTCCAGTAACCTTTTTTGTGTATGTACTTAGCTGTACTATAAGTAGCTGGTTTGTATGAGATGGTTAAAAAGACAAAAGATGAAAGGTTTCTTTCCTTCTTTTTTTTTTGTCTAGGATGTTGCTATTTATTTATTTATTTATTTATTTTGGTCCATGTAATATATGTGTGAAACAGTGTTGTCCAACAATAAACCGGAATTTTATTTTGCTGAGTTGTTCTAACCAAAAAAAAAAAAAAAAAAAAAAAAAAAAGAAGCTGGTTCTTCAAAAGAATAAACAAAATAGATAAATACTCAAATTTACCAAAAGAAAGATGGAAAAGACATGGTTGTATTTTGAATTGAAGAGAATGAAATCACAACAGATGCTATCAAAATGCAGAAGATAGTGACAACTATGAAAAGTAGTATTCCTACAAATTGGAAACTTTTGAAGCAATGGACAGATTCCTAGGCACATAGAAATTACAAAAGATAACCAAGAAGACATAAAAGTGCTGAATAACTCACTAAAAATGAATGAAATTCAGACAAGAATAAAGAATCTACCTGCTAAGAAAAGCCCAGGATCTGATGAATACACAGCTGAATTCTGAAAAACCTTTAACTGTTATATCGCCAATACTTCTCAATGAGACCCAGTCCTAGGCCAGGTCCAGTGAGTGTGTGGAGAGCTTCCTGCTACCCTGTGCCAGCAGGACCAGTCCCAGCCCAGGCGCAGCGTGGGCTGGACCCTCTCCCGCCCCCTCGGGCTGCCCCCCACCACTCCGCCCTACGTCCCCACCCCTCCCACCAAGTAGGAATTTCTGCCGACTTCCTGGAACCCCCAGACCCAGTCCTAGCCCAGGTCCGGTGAGTGTGTGGAGAGCTTCATGCTACGCTGCGCCGGCGGGACCAGTCCCAGCCCAGGCGCAGCATGGGCCGGACCCTCTCCCGCACCCTCGGGCTGCCCCCCACCACTCCACCTTACCCGCCCCACCCCTCCTGCTGAGTAGGAATTTCTGCTGAGTTCCAGGAACCACCAGACCCAATCCTAGACCAGGTCCACAGCGGGAAGGAGCTGAGCACAGCAGCCAGTAATAAGCCAGACTCAGCTGGATAACTCCAAACTCTGTAGAGCTCCACCGGAACTTCAGT